AGAAGATGGAAAACTTCTGTTAGCCCCAAAACACTTGATAATTTCTTTCAGGAGGACTCCAAAAGAAAATAAAAAGGCATGGAAAGGAGACAAAAAAAAGATTTCTGAGAATAAACTTTTGATGGACAGCTTCTAAAGAAGTGAATATATTAGACCTGATATTAAAGAATGGCAGTGTCGAACTATTACCTACGAAACCATTGTACAGAAGTGACTGCTATATTTTAAATGGATAACCAACAAGGACCTATTCTATAGCACAGGGAACTCTTTTCAATGTTCTGTAGCAGCCTGGATGGGAGGGGAGTTTGGGAGAGAATGGATACATGTATATGGATGGCTGAGTCCCTCTGCTGTCCAACTGAAACTGTCACAACATTGTGAATCAGCTATTGTTGCAGGTGTTCAGTCACCCATTCATGTCCGACTCTTTGCGAACCCATTGACTGAAATATGCCAAGCTCTCTGTTTCTCACCGCGTCTCAAAGTTTGCCCAAGTTCATGTCCATTGCGTCAGCAATGCTATCCAGCCATCTCATCTTAATCTTTCCCAGCCTCAGGGACTTTTCCAATGAGTCAGCTGTTTGCATCGGGTGACCAAATTCAGCATCAGTCCCCATCCCAATTCCCAAGAAGGGTAGTACCAAAGAATGTGCTAACCATCAGACAACCACACTCATCTCCCATGCTAGTAAGGCCATGCTTAAAATCTTGCATGCTAGGCTTCAGCACTGTGCGAACCAAGAACTTCCGGATGTCCAAGCTGGGTTTAGAAAAGGCAGAGGAACCAGAGATTAAATTGCCAGCATTCGCTGGATTATACAGAAAGCAAGGGAATTCCAAAAAAACATCTACCTCTGTTTCATCAACTACACCAAAGTCTTTGACTGTGTGGATCATAATAAACTGTGGAAAGCTCTTAGAGAGACGGGAATATTAGACCATCTTACCTGTCTCCCAAGAAACCTGTATGAGGGTCAAGAAGCAACATTTAGAATCCTGTATGGGACAACTGACTGGTTCAAGATTGAGAAGGATGTACGACAGGGTTGTCTGCTGTCACGCTGTTTGTTTAACCTATATGCAGAGCACATCATCAGAAATGCCAGGCTGAATGAGTTACAAGCTGGAATCAAGACAGGCGGGAGAAACATCAACAACCTTAGATATGTGGATGATACCACTCGAATGGTAGAAAGCAAAGAGGAACTAAAGGGCCCCTTGATAAGGGTGAAAGGAGAGTGAAAGAGTTGACTTAAAACTAAATATCACACTAAGTTCCTGGCATCTAGCCCCGTTGCTGCTGCTAAGTCACTTTAGTCATGTCCAACTCTTAGCGACCCCATGGACTGCAGCCTACCAGGCTCCTCTGTTCATGGGATTTTCCAGGCAAGAGTACTGGAGTGGGTTGCCATTGCCTTCTCCAGCCCCATTACTGCATGGCAAACAGAAGGGGATGGTGACTGCAGCCATGAAATCAAAGACACCTGTTTCTTGGCAACAAACCTAGACAGTGAGTTGAAAAGCAGAGACATTATTCTGCTGACAAAGGTCCATATAGTCAAGGCTATGACCTTCCCATATGGTATGATCACCTATATTATCAGCCTATGGTATAATGGTTCCAAATTGGTATATGGTTCCAAATCGGGAAAGGAGTACATCAAGACTGTATATTGTCACCCTGCTTATTTAACTTACATGCAGAGTACATCATGAGAAACGCTGGGATGGATGAAGCACAAGCTGGAATCAAGATTGCCGGGAGAAATATCGATAACCTCAGATATGCAGATGACACCACCCTTACGGCAGAAAGTGAAGAAGAACTAAAGAGCCTCTTGATGAAAGTGAAAGAGGAGACTGAAAAAGCTGTCTTAAAGCTCAACATTCAGAAAACTAAGATCATGGCATCTGGTCCCATCACTTCATAGCAAATAGATGGAGAAACAATGGAAACAGTGACAAACTTTACTTTGGGGGTCTCCAAAATCACTGCAGATGGTGACTGCAGCCATGAAATTAAAACACACTTACTGCTTGGAAGGAAAGCTATGACCAATCTAGACAGCATATTAAGAAGCAGAGACATTGCTTTGCCAACAAAGGTCCGTCTAGTCAGGGCTATGGTTTTTCCAGTGGTCATGTATGGATGTGAGAGTTGGACTATGAAGAAAGCTGAGCACCAAAGAATGGATGCTTTTGAACTGTGGTGTTGGAGAAGACTCTTGAGAGTTCCTTGGACTGCAAGGAGATCCAACCAGTCCATCCTAAAGGAGATCATTTTTGTTTTTTTTTTTTTAAAAAGTGACTATAGTAGAATTAAACACTACATTCCAGGGAATAGAAACAAAATCTCACTAAATAGTTATGCAGTTTTTTTAAAGGAAATCATAAACACCAAATAACATTTGAAAGGATTAAAAACTACCAAACACTGAACAGATGACAAGTTGAAAGGTCTGAAGCCTTCAGACCACTATTTATGGATACAAAAGATCCAGCAAAATGGTGCAGAAAGTATGGTTTCATTTGGTGCCTTATGCCCACTTACCTTGTTTTAGATGTTCTTAAAGATACTTTGCATTTATACCTTTTTATCTGGATCGGGACTTCTACCTACCATCTTCCTAAATAAAAACAGAACTCCTGACATAGATGATTTATGGGCCTAAAGCCAGACTAGGTGCACATAACTTGCCTACCACATATATGCAACTCAACATGTCCAAAAGCACAGACTGGATTTCCTCCACAGGATCTGCTATTCCAAATGCATCCCCTTCTCAATCAGCAGCAACTCCATCCTTCCAGGTGAGAGTGTTCATGGCCTCAGTAGAGAGGCCAGAGGTCCCCAAATGGCAGGAGGAAACAAACTTCTCATCTTGCATTGTCATGGCAATGCCTGGTTCTGCCTAAACTTAACTCCATCTCGAACTTTGAGCTCAGCAATGCATTTTTCTCACGAAGTGTCTTTCTGAAGCCATCATAAGGAACTATGTATTGGCTTGGAGATCAGCCTGTCTTCAAGATTCTTGGCAATTGTTTTACGGCCCGGGGATAAATCACCCTTCATCAGTGTGATCTCAAGAACCATGTTGTGGGTGAGGGGCCTGGTGCCGCTTTGTTTTGGTTTCCTTTCTCTGATTAGCAACTTGCTTGTTCATAGGTATGTACTTCAGTTCCATTCAGTTGCTCAGTCGTGTCTGACTTTGCGACCCCATGAACTGCAGCACGCCAGGCTTCCCTGTCCATCACCAACTCCCAGAGGTTACCCAAACTCATGTCCATTGAGTCAGTGATGCCAGCCATCTCATCCTCTGTCGTCCCCTTCTCCTCCTGCCCTCAATCTTTCCCAGTATCAGGGTCTTTTCCAATGAGTCAGTTCTTCACATCAGGTGGCCAAAGTATTGGCATTTCAGCTTCAACATCAGTCCTTCCAATGAACATTCAGGACTGATCTCCTTTAGGATGGACTGGTTGGATCTCCATGCAGTCCAAGGAACTCTCAAAAGTCTTCTCCAACAACACAGTTCAAAGGCATCAATTCTTCGGTGCTCAGTTTTCTTTATAGTCCAGCTATCACATCCATACATGACTACTGGAAAATAGATATATAACTCCTTGCTAAAAGTAGTGAGGAGGCACTCTTTCTGCCCCCTTCTGATGTCTGTGTCAGAAGCTTTCTCTATCTCTTTTAGACTTTAATAACACTGTATTATACACAAAAAGCTCTGAGTGATCAAGCCTCATCACTGGCCCTGGATCAATTTCCTCTGGTCTGGGGGCCACGCATCCTGGCGTCAGTCATGGCTTGTGGCAGCAACCTTTCACAGGGTCCCCACCATCACCTCCCCGCCCTCACTTCCCACCAGTGTCCCCCTTGATCACTCAGCTCCAGCCACACTGGCGTTTCTGCTTTTCATCATATATTCCAGCCATGCTTGTCCTCGGGGCCTGTGCAGTGACTATTCCTCTCTGCCTGGAATGCTCTTCCCCAAGATATTTGCACGGTCATTCTCACTTCCTACAAGTTTTGGATCCCCCATTACTTCCTCCATGAGGTCTAACCATGCACCTTAAAATATAGAAACTCTTTGCCCTTTACCTTGATGTACGTCTTTTCATCAGATACCTTAATTCCTTGTCAGTTACAACCAAAAGGCCAAACCCAAAAGATATACTTTAGTCTAAAGGATGGAGGTCTACGAGAACTTCCTGCAACTGTGTTGTCCAGTTTTTCTTTCAGCATCAGATGGTCTCAAGGCACAAAAGAATGCCCACTTCCCATTTCCTGGTGTGCAACAATCACATATATAATCTCTCATTCTCTTAAAAACCTTTATTCTGGGGCCTGTGGTCTCTGTTTCAGGCAAGTTGAGAGTAAATGACAGAAGATGAGAGATGATATGCACAATTTGTCTTTAGAATACGAGCCCTGAGTTAGCCATCCCATTATAATAAAATTTTGGTTCTGCCTTCACTTACTCTGGCTCTTGTCCTAACGGAGTTTCCATCTTAGTCGGTTTGCTAAGAAGAGCACGGAAATGTAATATCCAACAACAAAAAAAAAAAATTGATGATTCTGAGGAGTATTGACTTGTAATTTCTAGAAGAGAATGTTTGTTTAGGAAAATGTTGCGGGGAGCCGGCCTGCTCAAGGCCCGAAAAGGCCCTGGGAAAGCCTTGAAAGAGGCTGTTCCCTGTCCTGCCACCCCATGATAAAGTAGTAAAACATTTGCTGGGTCTCCTTTGTTCTTCCTTGAGAAAAACGTAATAGTGACCTTCACTTAGTAGTTTATCTTGGAATGCCAAAAACAAGATGTAAGCTTCTGCAATCACTTAAGACAAAGAATTGTAGTGATGTGACAAACACCAGATGGCATTTTTTATGAACTATGTTTTCTGCTTGTACTAGTATAAAGGTAGCTGCTTTACCCAATAAAATCGCTGACTTGCCTAAAGAGCATTCAGCCCTCGACCCCATCCTTTACTTTCAGCTTCTTTTCCTAAGGCTTCCATGCTGCTGCGGTCGGGACCTGTTCACATTGCCAGCTGGTACCGGCAGGTGGCGCCCGAACGGGGACTCGATCGGGCTACACGGTCACAGCCGCCCGAAACGTGAGTACAGAGGGGATCCCGAGGAAAAAAAAAAAAGAGAGACGTGAGTACGGATTTTTTAAGAGCAGAGAGGGTTTTTAGTCGAGAGTATAAACTATGGGTCAAGGTAGTAGTAGAGAACTTTTTGTAACTATGCTTAAGACTATGTTAAAGGTGAGAGGAGTTACTGTTGCTAAACATAAATTAGAAAAGTTTTTGTTGTTTGTAGAAGAGGTTTGTCCTTGGTTTCCTGAGGATGGGGCTGTAAATATAGAAACTTGGATAAAGGTGGGAGAGCAAATTCAGCAGTATTATTCTTTACATGGGACTGAGAAGGTACCATTAGATGCCTACTCATTATGGACTCTTATCAGAGACTGTTTGGACCCTGAACATGAAAGCAAAAAATTGGAGACTGTGTTAAAGAATATAATTGGCAAACCTCCCACCTTGCCTACTGCTCCTCCTTCGGAGCATGGTTCTGATACGGCAGAAAAACCCCCTGTACAGAGTTCCTCTGACTCTGATTCTGAATTAGACCCTGCTGAGCAAGCAGAAGATCCATGGGAGTTATTTGCTGCTGAAAAAACCGCTGTTAAAACACAAGCAGAATTATCCCCTTTTTCGGAGGTTAAAGAATTGCTTACAACTATGACTAAACGTCTTGATACTCTTAACTTAAAGCTTTTTTTCCCAGCCCTTATGTCCCTCTAATCAGTTACCATCGCAGCCTCCATCCGTTATTGCCAGATTAGACCCAACGAGAGCTGATATGCAAAAGGGGTCTGAGGCTCCCGCACAGGCATTATCTGTAAAAAACACCTCCGAACTGTCCCCCCTCCAACTTGCAATTCGCCAGGCGAGGCAACAGGGAGAAAACTTGGCAGGATTTCCTATCCTTTTCCCCGTCCTTGAAGACGCTCAACAGCGAAGGTATTATGGACCCCTGCCATTTAAACAAATTAAAGAATTAAAGCAAGCCTGTGCTCAGTATGGACCAACTGCTCTTTTTACTATGTCCATCATTGAGAATTTAAATAGTCAATATTTACCTAATGACTGGAAGCAGGTCTCTAGGGCCTACCTCTCTGGGGGAGATTATTTGCTATGGAAATCAGAATTTGGAGAGCAGTGTGGAACTTTTGCAGACAGAAATAGATGGAATGGACTGCAAAGTTTTGAAATGCTTATGGGGGAAGGAGCCTATCGGGCTACTAATCAGCAATTGAATTATCCCCCTGAAGCTTATCCCCAAATAAATGAGGCAGCTTTGATAGCTTGGAAGCGGCTTCCTACATCTAATAAAAAATCTGAAGATTTGTCTAAAATAAGGCAGGGTCCTGATGAACCTTATCAGGATTTCGTGGCTCATCTCCTTGACTCAGTATCGCGAGTTATAGGAGATGAAGAAGCAGGTATGGTTTTAACCCATCAGCTGGCATATGAAAATGCTAACTCTGCTTTCCAGGCTGCTTTGAGACCCTACAGAAAGAAAGGAATAGCTGATTATATCCGGATTTGTGCAGATATTGGGCCATGATATATGCAAGGTTTAACCATCGTAGCTGCCCTACAGGGAAAAACTGTTAAAGAAATATTGTACCAAACAAGCTAACAAAGGAAAGATCAAGAATAGGGTTAACGGGCCCCCTGGCAGTTGTTTCTCCTGCGGACAGATAGGACACTGAGCTATACAATGCCCCCAAAAGAAAGGAGAAACGACCAATAAACAAACTGAAGGCCCTAATTTATGCCCCAGATGTAAAAAGGGATGGCACTGGGCAAAAGATTGTAGATCTAAAACAGATATTAATGGAAAAGTGCTTGCACCTGTGTCGGAAAACTGGGTGAGGGGCCAGCCCCAGGCCCCGAAACAATGTTATGGGGCAATTCAGGAAAATCATCAGGGAGCGATTTCCAACCCAGAATCAAAGATCTCTATAGAGCCACCTCAGGCAGCGCAGGATTGGACCTCTGTTCCTCCACCTATACAGTACTAACTCCTGAAATGGGAATGCAAGCGCTACCCACTGGGGTTTATGGGCCATTGCCACAAAATTCCGTGGGTTTGCTATTAGGAAGAAGCAGTTGGACTATGAAAGGATTACAAATCGCCCCTGGAGTAATTGATTCAGATTTTACTGGAGAAATAAAAATTATGGCTTGTGCCCCCCAAAACATTGTTAGTATCCCTTCTGGACAGCGCATAGCTCAATTGGTCATGCTGCCTACTATACCCATGGGGAAAATAAAAAATGCTCAACCTCGGGAAGGCGCATGTTTTGGGTCATCTGATGCTTATTGGATTCAAAATATAAAAGAGACTCGCCCAGAATTAGAACTACTTATTAATGGGCACAAATTCGTGGGGATACTGGATACTGGGGCTGATGTTTCTGTAATATCTTTAAATGATTGGCAAAAAAATTGGAATAAGCAAGTAGCCATCTCCACTTTATGGGGAATTGGCCAGTCTCATAACCCTGAACAGAGTTCTGAATTGCTTAAGTGGAAGGATGCTGAGGGTCATGAAGGACACATTCAGCCTTACATTTTACCTAATATTCCTGTTAATCTATGGGGAAGAGATATTATGAAACAAATGGGAGTTTACATATTCGCCCCAAATGATGCCATTAGTCAAATGCTTTTGAATCAGGGGCTATTACCTAATCAGGGATTAGGAAAAAATGGAGAAGGAAATTTGTCACCTATTCAAACTAAAACCTTGCCTCTTTGATCAGGATTAGGATATTTTTAGGGGAGGCCATTGTATCTCCTGCGGCTCATGCGGACGCGATTACCTGGAAAAGTGACGCGCCGGTCTGGGTCAATCAATGGCCTCTCACAAAAGAAAAAATATTAGCCGCAGAACAATTGGTGCAGGAACAATTGGCGCTTGGTCATATTGAACACTCTAATTCGCCTTGGAACTCTCCTATTTTTGTGATTAAAAAGAAATCTGGTAAATGGAGATTATTACAAGATCTCAGAAAGGTTAATGAGACCATGGTTGTTACGGGACCTTTGCAGCCTGGTCTCCCTTCTCCTATAGCTATTCCAAAGGGGACTTATAAATTAGTTATTGATTTAAAAGATTGTTTTTATACTATACCACTGGCACCACAAGATTGTCCTCGTTTTGCTTTTAGCGTCCCTGCTAATAACTTTCATCAACCCATGAAGCGTTATCAATGGAAAGTACTCCCTCAAGGCATGGCTAACAGCCCCACTTTATGTCAAAGTTTGTTGCTAAAGCGCTGGAACCTACTCGTCAAAAATATCCTTCTCTATATATGATTCATTATATGGATGACATTTTACTAGCTCATTCTAATGAAAGTATTTTGTTGTCTGCCTTTTCCAGCTTGCAGGCTGATTTGCAGCACTATGGCCTTCAAATAGCTCCTGAGAAAGTTCAACATAGCCCACCTTATTCTTGTTTAGGCTTTAGACTAGAAGGAGAGACTTTTAAAGCTCAAAAATTAGAACTTCATAAAGATAATTTGAAAACATTGAACGATTTTCAAAAATTATTAGGAGATATTAATTGCATTCGTCCTTATTTGAAAATCACTACTGGGGAATTAAAACCCCTGTTTGATATTCTTAAAGGACCTTCAGACCTTACGTCGCCTCGGGTTTTGACTGATGAAGGACGCCAAGCTTTAAATATTGTAGAAAAAACATTGGCTGCTCAAACAAGCTCTCATTGTGATTATACAAAAGAATGGGGCTTGTATATACTCCCTTCTAAACGCACCCCTACAGCTGTTCTTTTTCAAGATTCCCCTCTTTATTGGATACATTTGCCTGTTTCCCCTGCTCAGGTACTCACCCCTTATTTTGATCTAGTCAGTAATCTTATCACTAAGGGCCGTCGAGATTCCAGAGAATTATTGGGGAGAGACCCTTACTTTTATCTGTTTACCATTTACAAAGGAACAACAGGACTGGCTATTCCAGTTCAGTGATTCCTGGAATGCAGCCCTAGCTCATTTTGCCGGCAGATTAGAAAATCATTTTCCTGCTAATAAGCTGCTACACTTTGCTAGTCAACACAACTTTGTGTTTCCTTCTGTAATTGTTTCACAGCCGATTCCTAACGCTGTCACCGTTTTTACTGATGGATCGTCAAACGGGAAGGCTGCTTATGTTATTAATGATAATGTTACCTCCTGGTTTACAGGCTGTTCCTCTGCACAAAAAGTAAAATTATGCGCCGTGTTTGTTGTTTTACAACACTTTGCCTCTGAACCTTTGAATGTTTTTTCTGATAGTCATTATGTTGTTAGAGCTCTTAACCAATTGTAAACTGTTCCCTTTATTCATACTGTCAGTTCAGTGATTCAGCAGCTGTTTCGAGATGTACAAGCTCTTTTACATCAAAGGATTTACAAATGCTTTTTTGGCCATATTCGCGCTCATTCGGGTTTGCCTGGAGCACTTGCCTCTGGAAATGCATTAGTTGATTCAGCCACTCATATTTTCCTTTCCCAGACCCAACTCGCAGAACGCTCTCACCAATTACATCATCAAAACAGCAATACCCTCAGATTACAATTTAAAATACTCCGTGAAACCGCCAAGCAAATAGTTAAACACTGTCCTGTTTGTCCTCAACTCCTTCCTGTTCCTCACTATGGTGTGAACCCCCGCGGCCTCCTTCCCAACCATTTATGGCAGATGGATGTTACTCACATTCTTTCCTTTGGTAAATTGAAATATGTTCATGTTAATATAGATACTTTTTCTAGGTATATTTTTGCCTCTTTACAAACAGGAGAAGCAGCTCAACATTGTATTGTACATTGCCTTGCAGCATTCTCCGTTATGGGAACTCCAAAGACCATCAAAACGGACAATGGACCTGGATATACTTCTGCTGCTTTTCTTAATTTTTGCTCCCGTCTCTCCATCTCTCTTAAAACAGGCATCCCCTACAATCCCCAAGGTCAAGGCATCGTTGAACGAGCTCATCAGACATTAAAACATCAGCTTTTAAAAAATTAAAGAAGGGGGAGTTATATCCCCTCACACCATATAATTACTTACATCATGCCCTTTTCATTCTTAATTTCTTAAATTTGGACTCTGAAGGAAAAACCGCGGCACAGCGATTCTGGTCCCCAGCTGCTATTAACAAACCCTTTGTAACTTGGAAAGATCCAACTACTAATCAATGGCATGGCCCTCACCCTGTTTTGATATGGGGACGGGGACATGTTTGTGTTTTTCCACAGGATGCCAAAGCACCGTGCTGGCTCCCAGAGAGGCTGGTACGCCAGACGGAGACGGTCACTGACTGCTCGAATGGAGAGTATGCAGATACAAGAGAGGAATGTTCTGCCAACAAATCAACAAATACATGAGTTCGTGGAACGAGTAAGACACATTGCTGCGGATACAATCAATCCACACATTTCTCTATCCTACTTGGTGCTTGCGTTGGCATGTGCTGTCATGAATAAAGCATTTCCCAGAGCCAAAGGAAATGTTTTTCTTTCTTGGGCTCATTCCTATGCTGACTTTCATAATGCCTCTGCTTGTTGGGTATGCACTGCCATGCCTTTGTCAGTTGTAAATGGTTTACCATGGTGGGTTTTGCCAATAAGTCAGGAAGATTTACCTGCGGTGTGTGAATTCTTAAAACAGTATAAGCAGATTCACCTTAGCCTTAATTCTCTTACAGCCTTGACCTGGTGTAATTCGAAACCTTATGACTCCCGGATTAGATTTAATGCCAGTCAAAGCCTTGGGACAATTTCTGCTGCCTTTAATCAGTATGTTACTTCCTCCAGCAAAGGACAAGATCACGCCAGCTGATATTTTGGGGACTATTATCAGATTTGGGATGAATACTTTTGGATGACCCCAGAAAAAGGACAATTGCTGAAACGAGCGGACATTTGCTGGGAACAACAAGAACATCAACCCCACTTTGGAGAAAAGAAATTTAGGCAGACATTTGTTAAAGCATATGGGTATTACTCCTAATTCTTTGTGTGAATGCATAATTGATGTTACTTTTTCTGCTAAAACATCCACACCTTGGCCAGGATCTGATTGGCTTTATAACCCAGGCATCAGATGGGTTGCTCCTAACGGAACAAAATGGATTTGTGGTCCTAATGTCTGGCCGTGGCTGCCTATGGGCGGGGTAGGACGATGCAGTCTTGGATTTGTGTTTGCTCCTGGCCGTATTAGTTATGAGCCCATCAAGAACCCTGCCAACCTTCCCTTTTTGCGAGGGCGATGGACTCGATCTGTACTTCATTGGTATGATTATTTGGCAGCAGTATTTGTTCCCTCTATTGGGACGGCCGATATAATGGCCCATGTAGATGCCTTAACTAATTTTACTCAACAAGCCTTATTAGACACTAAAAAGGCTATTGAGGCTCTAAATGAAGAACAGAAACAAATGAGAAAAGCCGTTTTGCAAAACCACATGGCTCTAGACATTATTACTGCTGCTCAAGGTGGGACCTGCGCTGTAATAAAAGTAGAATATTGTGTGTATATCCCAGATTTATCTTCCAATGTGTCCAATGCTGTAAATGATCTTCAACATCAAATACTTTCTATGCAGGATTCCTCCCTTTTTTGGGAGGAGCAAGTTAAATCCTGGTTTGAGAGTGGTTGGTGGAGACCCTGCTCATAGTGCTTGTTGTTGTACTCTGTGTTCTTTGTTGTGGACCATGTTTTCTACAATGTATTATGAATCTGGTTACTGAAAGGATTATAAAATTTGCCCAGATTTTGAAAAAATAACCTTGTCTGCTTTTTCTCGAGGAATATGTAATAAGGTTCGGCCTTTAATAAATAAAAAAGGGGGAGATGCGGGGAGCCGGCCTGCTCAAGGCCCGAAAAGGCCCTGGGAAAGCCTTGAAAGAGGCTGTTCCCTGTCCCGCCACCCCATGATAAAGTAGTAAAACATTTGCTGGGTCTCCTTTGTTCTTCCTTGAGAAAAACGTAATAGTGACCTTCACTTAGTAGTTTATCTTGGAATGCCAAAAACAAGATGTAAGCTTCTGCAATCACTTAAGACAAAGAATTGTAGTGATGTGACAAACACCAGATGGCATTTTTTATGAACTATGTTTTCTGCTTGTACTAGTATAAAGGTAGCTGCTTTACCCAATAAAATCGCTGACTTGCCTAAAGAGCATTCAGCCCTCTCGACCCCATCCTTTACTTTCAGCTTCTTTTCCTAAGGCTTCCATGCTGCTGCGGTCGGGACCTGTTCACATTGCCGGCTGGTACCGGCAAAATGTAAATGTTTTAAATGACTGGTTATAGAAAACTGCTTAATTAAAACCACAGCCTATATTTGTCATGGTAGGTTGATGGGATCCAGCAACTTTGGTGATAAATTAACTAACAATGACATCATTCTAACAGTGTTTCATTTCTTACAAAACGACTGAGTAGGTATCAAAAATAAGAACATACCTACAGTCACATTTGTCCTCTTACTGTGCACTTCCAAAGACGGGAAAGTGAATGTAAGAGTGACTTAAAAATAGTGCCAAGTCTCGCGCAATTTACCATATGTTACTGCTGCTGCTGCTAAGTCGCTTCAGTCATGTCCGGCTCTGTGCGACCCCATAGACAGCCCACCAGGCTCCCCCGTCCCTGGGATTCTCCAGGCAAGAACACTGGAGTAGGTTGCCATTTCCTTCTCCAATGCAGGAAAGTGAAAAGTGAAAGTGAAGTCGTTCAGTTGTGTCCAACTCTTAGCGACCCCATGGACTGCAGCCTACCAGGCTCCTCTGTCCATGGGATTTTCTAGGCAAGAGTACTGGAGTGGTTTGCTATTGCCTTCTCCAATTTACGATTTAGGCTGCGCTATTTCAATTGCTTGTCTTTTTCTTCTGGAAACCATGAGTAAGTAAGTGAAAGTTGCTCAGTCGTGTCCAACTCTTTGCGACCCCATGGACTATACAGTCCATGGAATTCTCCAGGCCAGAACACTGGAGTGGGTAGCCTTTCCCTTCTCCAGGGGAATCTTCCCAACCCAGGGATCGAACCCAGGTCTTCTGCATGGCAGGCAGATTCTTTACCAGCTGAGCCACCAGGGAAGCCCCTTGGAAACCATGCCCTTTAGGTAAAATTTGGGGAAGTTAGTTGCACAGGTATGATGTCACTCAACTGTCTCTTTCCTCACCACCAAACTTAAGCTTCCTCTTCCATTTCCTGTTTTCATAAATAGCATTCCCACTTGATGGGACAAAGCAGACCCTGGGTAATCAGAGGCCCCCAATTCACAGAAACCTCTATTCAGATACTGACTCTGCTACTTAGTAGCTGTCTTGTCTGGGATGAGGCCTTTCAGCTCCGAGCCTGGGCTTAGTTTCTTCCCTTAAGAGCCACGCAGCCCTCATGATTATCTGAAAAGTGTTTCAAGAAGTAGAGAGTGGTTGTAGAGTCACATGCTACATAATGTGGAGACTTAGAATGTTTCCTAGATTTTCAACGTGGATGTCTCTGGTGACTTTGGCATGATCCACTTCAACAGTAATAGGCTAGGAGCCAGACTACAGTGGGGTGAGGAGTAGGCATGACAGCATTACAATTCTTGTTACACATATACACACCCCATTCTCACAGCCTTCTCTCTCTCTTCCTTTTCTTGAATGGAAAAAAAAAATGTCATTTACTCTTTTCATTCATTAACATAGCTAGGGATTCTTTCCCTATGAAATGTATGTACTGTACATACTTTAAATCAACCTTTTTTTAAAATTCATCACTCATTTTTTTCCAAGGCCTGCTAATACAGGGCCACTGTTTGACTCGATTCTGAAATGGCTGTTTGGAGATAAGCTGTATACAGCAATTTATCTGGGAGATCATTTTTTCTTTACTTCTACTCACAGTTCGACCACCACAAATCCTCTTGAGATGGCAGCTGAGAGACCTAATGGATTCTTCTTGTTAATCATTCAAATGGTGTCTGCTCTTCAACTTTAGATATTCAATTGTACTCCCTCTTTGTCCTTAAAAGATTTTTGCTGATGAATACTGTGGCATCTTTTTTCGGTATTGTAATAAACATGGGAAAAAATGTCATATAGAGTCATCCCTCAGTATTTGCAGGGATTTGTTTCAGGACACTTAACTCCCAGGGCAGATACCAAAATCTGCAGAGGCTCAAGTCTCTTCAATAAAATGGTGCAATATTTGCATATAACCTAGGCACATCCTCCCATATACTTTAAATCATCTATTATTAATATAATACCTGCTGCTAAGTCGCTTCAGTCATGTCCGACTCTGTGCCACCCCACAGACGGCAGCCCACAAGGTTTCTTTGTCCCTGGGATTCTCCAGGCAAGAATACTGGAGTGGGTTGCTATTTCCTTCTAATATAATACCTAATACAATGTAAATAGTTGCAAATACTATAACAGTTGCCAGCATGCAGCAAATTCCAGGTGCTCAGTTCGATGAGCCAAGAAAAAAAATTAGAATGATGCCAGTAATTTCAATAATTGTAGGATATCAATATAAATTTATGAATTTTTATAAATGCACACTGTGACTATATAAGAGAATTCTTTGTATTTAAGAGAGTCACACCAAAAGAGTACTTAGGAGTAAAGGGGGATTAGGGTCTGCAACTTACTCTCACACACACATGCATATACATACATGTATGTAGACAGAGTTATACAGCAAATGTTTTGAAATGCTAACATTTGGCAAATCTGGAGGAAGAGTATTCAGGAATTCTGTGTACTATTTTATCAACTTCAAGTCTGAAATTATGTCAAAATCAAAGTTAAAAATACCACTATTCTTGTTGCCACAGGTTCCAGCTTCCAACTTTTTCTCTTCCATCAAACAAAGTGTTTCAATCCACTCCCTGGAATTGTGGCAATAACAGACAGGGTGAGGAAAGATGAATTGAGAGCAGGTACATTTTAGAAAAGCTCTCCCAGGTGACTGAGAGGTAGCCTTCACCACATGAAGAACCATGACTCCTAATTTGGGGGAATTCATGTCACAGGGTAGATGAACACAGAAGTGTTCTAATCCACTGATGACTATGGCTAGGATGAAAACCTCACAGTGGAGAGACTACAGACCTAGGAGACAGATCTGGTTCAGACCTCAGCTCTGCTAACTCCTCACTGACGTGAGGGGGGAGAACTCTAACTCACAGGGTAGAGGAGAAAACATTCATTTCTGCAAGTCAAGTTATTCTACGTCTTTCCAAAGAGTCAGGTACAGACAAAAAGATGACCACAATTAGAGAAAAGGGATAAAAATCAAAGGAGAGAAAACAATTTTGTTAAATTATACTAATTAGAGGGGTGAGAAGGCAGCTTCAGAGCACCAAGAGATAGGATGATATAATGTCAAAGAGAAAAAGTAAACATCAAGTTTGTAAATATCCCCCTTCACATCTTTGATTCTTCCAAATGGGAGTGTACCAGACAGGCACATTTGGCAATTTTCAGTTACAGTTTATTTATTATGAGCAATAAGACTCTATTTGGATATCAGCCAGTTGTCAGGTTTTAGTCCTGATTTCCTGAACAGTGTCAAAATGGAGCGCTGAAATTTTAGCTCTGTGAACAACAAATCAGTATGACATAAATCAGTACTTTTAAAACCGTAAAATGAAAATAAGGACATCTGCTTAAAGAGAGGACTTCCCTGGTGGCTTGGATGGTAAAGAGTCTGCCTGTAATGCTGGAGACCAGGGTTCAATCCCTGGGTCGGGAAGATCCCCTGGAGAAACCATAAGCCATGTAGCAGAGAAGGAAAAATGATATTCATTTCTAAAAGCAATAAACACTGCAACCCTAGAGTACTTACCAACATGTGAAGGCCAAACAGTTATATGGGGATGGGAGTGATACCAACCCACAACTCTCATGGGGCGACCCGTCAGTTCAGCCAACCTGTGTGTCTGTCAAGGTATTTTCAACTTGCGGAAACAAAATCTGTGATGCTAATAAGGGCTCAGAGAGCATCTTAAAGTTTCAAATAAACCCGTTACAATTTAATGTCAACAAAAGTCTAAAAAGGTCAAAGGTCAATGCCAAAATTTCCCACACTTTCCATCTAAAGACGAAGGTTTTTCTTTAAAAAAAAAAAGCAGAATGGTTTCCATTCTTGGATACAGTTATAGCCTCTTAATCCAGTTTAGTTAGTATTTGGATGTCACATGATTAACTTGAGTAATCCTCTATTCTCTCTCTGGTCCAACCTATCCTCATCCTCTTAAGAAGTGCAAAATTTTGAAAAAGTCATGTGAGGGCTTCCTTGGTGGCTCAGTGGTAAAGAATCTGGCTGCCAGTGCAGAGGACGCAGAATTGATCCCTGATCTGGGAAGATCACATATGCCATTAAGCAACTAAGCCCATGCGCCATAACTATCTGAGGCTCTAACTTGAGATAAGAGCTCAGCTGAAGAGAAAAAGCTGTCCCATTCTGTTGCTGGTTCATTTTCCTGAAAATGACTTACACTGAAACCCAACAGACCTGTCTACACAACTAAGTCTAAGACAGCTTTTTAGGGAATTCCCTGGTGGTCTGGTGGTTAGGGCTCCATGCTTGTACTGCACTACCATCAGTAAAAGACTGAAAATAACCTCAACATCTGCATGAGGTCAGCCCAACCATCAAGGGCTGTGTTATGCAGGCTTAAGAGTGAGGTATCTCTGTATCAGTGGACAATTCTCTAGGTACACTGTTATGTACCATTACAGCTACCATATGTATTCAAAACTCTGTAAAAAAGAAAACATTCTTATATGTTTTTGTATGCAAATAATTCAACCATAAAGTTACATGAAGATGTGATAGTCCTGGTTATGTCCAGGGAGGAATGGTTGGGGAACTAGGGCA